TCTAGAGGCCCTCAGCTGGGTCAAAGGGAGATCATGGTCAAGGTCCCAGGAAGGTGGTGAAGAGGTCATTCAGGACCATGCAACAGCACGGAAACATTTCACTATGTTAACACACGGTGAACCGCGTTAGTGAGTTCCCGTTGGGTGTTGGAGGTGCATTCTGGTACAATGATGCTGTTCCTTCAGGCTTCAAGGTTAGGATTAACTGAGATTAAAAAGTCTACAAATAGCCTAAATGTCCATCTACAGACCAATGTATAAAGAAAATGTGATACACACACACACACACACACACACACACACACACACAATGGGGTTTTACTTAGCTGTAAAAGAAAATGAAATTATGACATTCACAGGAAAACATATGGAGCTGGAGAGCATTATGTTTAAATAAAATTAGATAGACTAGTGTTTTCTCTCATATGTGGAATACAGGTTCAAATACAAATTTTATGTATATATATGTATATATATGGACATCAACGTAGAAAGGGAACTATGACGATGAGAGGGGAGGAGAAGGTCTAACAAGGGGGAAGGCAGAAATAAGAAAAGCCATGGAATTCATAGGTGGACCATGAAAACAGAAGTGGGAGCTGTTTGAGGGGAGGAAGGGGGCCAGCAAGAGGGAAAGGGGGACATTATGTGTACAGAGAATAAAAGAAAGCACAATAAACGGTATCTATGTATGAAAATGTCACATTGCTTTGTATGTTCATCACAAATCTAACTAAAAATATCAGCAAACAGGGGGCTGGAGAGATGGCTCAATGGTTAACAGCACTGGCTGCTCTTGCAGAGGGTCCAGGCTTGGTTCCCAGCATCCACTGGGTGACTAACAACTGTCAGTAACTCTAGTTCCAAAACATTTATACATGTTTAAATTTTTTTTAAATCAGCAAAGTCTTTTTCCATGCTTATATCCCATCACATCGCACTCACCTTTGAGGGAAATACTGTCTAGATGGCTTTGTTTAGAGCGTATGCCCACCCTTGGCCAGGGGAAAACAGGAAACTCTGACAACCCTCCCCAACTTCATCTAATGCAGTTGAAATAATTTTCTAGAAGAGCTCAGTGCTCTGCTACTGTGAGGTGAGATACAAAGTATTTAACAGTTGGTACAGCACCAGTCAGTTATGAGGGGCATGGGCCCTTGAATGTGGGGCAGGGTCTGGAAAGCTCTCTACTGTGCTGAGATTAGCTACCCGTTAGCAGTTGTGCCAATGCAAGTTTAGGGCAAATGCAATTGGCTCAGGAGCAGGAATGGGCTAGTCATTATGGAGACAGGACATGGAGGCAGGAGCTAGGGACTTGTGTTATGACTACTCTTGGCAGGCATGGTGTATTATTACCAACTAGTGCCAGTCTGTCGATTGCATAGGAAGGGGGAATAGATACTGGGCTTGGGGGAAAAATCACAGCTGCCTGTTACAGAGATGCTAGAGTAGAATACAAGTGATTCATTCAGCTCGGAACAGGTTTCATATAGCATGCACGAGGTGTGGTGGTATTATTGGTTGTCAAGGTGAATAAGAGATGGGGTGGGTGGTGTCAGAATTTGACTGATGCAACCAGGAATGATAAATATATTCTACAAAGTCTGGAATAGTCAGTTTGTCCTGCCCCAAATGCCAACAGCACCTCTGTGGAGAGATAGTGAAAGGAGAATCTTTCAGAAAGAGCTGCTAAAGTATACAATAATGTTCAGTGAGCTGAACAGAGACAGCCCCAGTATGGGAACATAACTTCTATTTATTGTTTATTATGGATTAGATCCACAGTACATTCCATGAAAGTCACATGACAACATCCTAAGATATAATTCAGGACTCTCTTCTTAAACGTGAGGAGTCTGGCTCAGAGAAGCAAAAGAGCTTTGCCAAGGTGAAATAGGCAAGGGACAGGGCTTTTAAACTCAATTTTAATATCAAAGTCTTCTTGCAAGATTTCGGGAGGCTGAAAAGAGGAGTGCCTCTGTGTGTGTGTGTGTGTGTGTGTGTGTGTGTGTGTGTGTCTGAGAAAGAGAGAGAGAGAGAGAGAGAGAAAGAGAGAGAGAGTCCTAAGAGAGAAAAAGGATTATAATCAATTCAGGAACTGAGGACAAGAGTCAATTACAATGGGAAGCTGGAATTTTGGGTATCTTTGAAAAGTCTGAGGTATTCCTATACAGTGTTTTCTAGACTGAAGGAAGCGACTTTGAGGGGTCTTGTTTTTTGTATATTTTATTGAATTTTTGTGTATTTTACACACAATATCTTAATCATTTTTATACTCCCTTCTGCATTGGCACCTCCCATAGCTCCCCACTCCACTACTGGTTTCGATCATTCTATCATTTATGCATTTATGTTAAGTCTTATCAAGTCAAGTTAGTATCTTCTGACATCCCTCAGTGCAAGTTCATCCACTGGGGTCTAGTCAGCCTATCCAGAGTCACTCCCTTAAAGAAGATCAGCTCTTTCTTACCCAGTAGTAAACAGCTGCCCAATAGTACTTTGGCTAACATTGGGGCCTGCTGCCCAATTCCATGTTTCTATGCTGGGCTTTTTGTCTGCTTGAATTTGCATGGGTCTTGTGCATGCTGATACCATTGCTGTAGATTCATATAAACAAGTTCCCAGGAGCCTGTAGGACTCTGTTTCCATATGGCCATACATTTTCTCCCCTGGTTCTTACAATCTTTCTACCCAAGAGGAGTCTTTTTGTCTTGTTTCCATGATTAATTCAGTTCTCAGTACTCTACCAGATTCTGATTGCTGACTTTAAGATACATGTTGAATAAACACTTTTGAAAGAGCTGGAAATTCACATGCAACTTCAACTAAATGAAAAACTGATTGAAATTAACCCTCTGTTTCAACACTAAATACAGTTTATCTTCATTTATAGTTAAATGCAGGAATTCAAACACTGAATCCAGGCCTGTGCAGGCAACCCCGTAATCCCAGCACTCAGAGGTTGACAATTGCCATAGATTTGCTGTCAGTCTGGGCTACATACTGAGTTCCAGGTTAGCCTGGGCTACACAGAAAGAGAGAGGGAGCCTGTCTGAATCAACCAAAAATAAACAAAAACCTCAAACAAACAAACAAACAAACAGAATTTAAAAGTTAAAGAAATGAAGAAAAGGGAAGTTGGAATAAAAATATATAACATTTTATATGTCTAGTAAATGCACATATATAAGATTGTTTGTGTTTGTATGTTGTATATATATGTTTGTGTTCTTGTATGTGAAGGCCGGAGAGCAATGTCAACTGTCTTCCTCAATTGATTCTCCACCTTATTTTGGGGTTCACTGATTTGGCTAGATTGGCTGGTCAGCAAGTCCCAGAGATCCTCCTGTTGATTCCACTCCCCAGTCCTGGGCTACAGAACTAAGTCAACAACTACACTTTTATGTGGGTGCTGGGGATCCAAACTGAAGTCCTAACCAGCAAACACTTTATGGAACGAATCATCTCTCCAGGCCCTCATATTAAAAAGTTTAGTCCAACAAATATTATGCATACTTTATTGTACACATATCTAATATTTAAAAAGCATCAGAGAAGCTGCCATTCTCTGTATTTTGTAATTAAATACTGCCACTGTCTCTCCCTGTCTCTTACTTGCAACCTTGTGGCAACAGGCAATTACCTCCCCTAAGGTAATTAGAAGAAAAGCTTCCACTAATCCTCGGTATCTTGCTACAAGACAAAAAGTAGATCATAATAGGCGTTTGGGGGAGGGGCAGAGGAAAGGTCTAACCAAGTAACATTGCCTTTCTGGAATTCTGGTTCCTACTTGACAATCCGTCTCTTTTCCAGTACCAAATCCGGCTCAGACACCAGGTGGCGCTCTTACCCTGCAGTAGCGTCCACAGCCCTTGGCCTTGGCGCAGGTCCTAAGAAAAGCTGCGTCGAACCCCTGACCCCGAAGAACTGCGCTCAGCGAAGCGGGGAGGCAGAACGGCGGCCAGGGCGGCCTCGCCCTGGGGCTGAGTTGAAGCCAAGGCTGATCCGGATTACAGCGGGGCTATAGCCGCCCTTTCCACTCCAAAGTCAAGTTCAGAGTGTGGGCAGGGGTGGGGGTCGGGAAGGGGAGGGGCAAGCATCCTCTGTATTTGAGGAAAGCATAGGTGGCAGCAGCTGCTTGGAAGGTTGAGATGTCCGGACAGTCTCCTGGAAAGGTGACAAGCATCCTTCTGTTCTCAGCTGGGCATTTCGGAGGCAGGTCCGGACGCTCTAAAAGTTCCGCTTGCTTTTCTTCATCCTCAGCCATTGGCGGTGATGAAATACTCTTTTCAGTGTTTTCTCACAAAGCAGGGTCTCGCTAAACGGTCAGTGTCAGTGCACCCCTCACCGCCATTTAAGAGCCAGACAGGTTCTCATGTGAAGTTGGACTCCTGGTTTGCTAGCATGATTCAAAATGGGAAAGACAACTTTTTAAAGAAGGCTCAGAAGGCGAGGACGCAAGCCCAGGTCCCCAGGCACTCAGGGCTCTGGAGTCCCTCCTGTTCTTTACGTCCCCGGGATGGAGGGTGGCCCACATGCGCCAGAACCCCCAGAGTTTAATAAATGCAGAGTTCCTGGGCTCAGTTTAGGTCTACTGACCATAACTAATCTCTTCGGATGAGATGAGGAAATCCGCAGGCTCAACCACATGAAACTAACCATTGTCATCTTTCACTACCAACAATAAAACCCTTCCTTTTAGCCTCCCCCTAGGCCCCCTCGTGATTGCTTTCCCTGCACTTTAAAACCAAGTATTGCTGCTTTGCTCTGCTACCTTTGGACTTGTTCTGAAGAGCAAGGAAAAGGAGACCCAGTGTGGGTTGGCAAGGCTCATCTTTGGGGATGGAGAAGTGGGCACATAGCATTTGAAAACAAGAGGGCCTGAGATATCCCAAAGCCACCCGGGCTCTGGTTTAGGAGCTGGGCACTGGCCACTGTCCCAATGGAGGGGATCCAGCGGTTGGTCTTCCGCACAATGCCAAGCTTACCTGGGGCGGCCGCCAGGTCTTAAGGCGAACTTGGGTGGCGTGGGGCGGGCTCCTCTGAAACACGAGCCGGGCGGGGATGCAGGAGAGGAGGAGGAGAGAAAGCGGGGGTCTGCCTCCCCCACCTCCCGCCCCCAGGGCCACAGTCTGCTTTATAATTGGCCCCGGCAGCTGTTGCTTTCCTCTTATCTGATCCTGGGAGCGCAGCGGGAGGAAGCGCTGAAGAGGCGGAGAGAGAGGGATAGGGTGCGGGGTGGGAGACAGGGTGAGGGACAGGAAAGAGAGCAGCCAGTTGAAAGGGGTCCACCGAGGGAGGCAAGCAAGGGCAGTGATCCGCTAAGAGCCAAGCACCGCGAATCTTCCCTAGGCGTCAAGAGGTCCCCAGCCTGGGCTGGAATCTTGCCCTGCGCAGGTCAGTTCTTTCTCTGCTCTTAGGCTTGGCCTTGCAAAGTCTATTGGTGAAGAAAGAAACCAGGGGAGACTAAGCCACTTGCAGACGGATTGCAATTTCCAGGACATTCCTCCACTGCCGCGCGCTCTGGATGGCCCGCGTGGGGATTAGATAGAATCCGGCACCAATTTTTTTTTTTTTTTTTTCTCCTGAGCTCACTGGGCAGAGAAACTGTAGGCTCAGGGTGACGGGCCCTTCCTCCCCACCTCCCTCTGTGCCTGGGTGCTGTGCGCCTGCGGCAGGAACCAGCAGGATTTGGCTGCGGGATGGTGGTGGCTCCAGCGTTTGCATTTGGAAGGGACTTAGGAAAGGCAACATTGCAATAGAAAAGAGCCTCAAGGATTTCTTTTGACGAGCTGTGTATGCTTAGAGAACAGCCCTGTTTAGATTCTATTTGGGGGTGGCTTGGAGGACCAGTCCACGGAGATCATTGGTGACAAAAGTCAGCCAGCCATTCTCGTAGTGCTACACATTTTAGCAGCCAAGGGCCAAGCGCTGGACGCAAAGCGAGCCCGCAGGCAGAGCTCTTAGAGGAGAGAGTGCCAAGATGCTCTGCATCTGTGTGAGAGGAAACGAGAAATTCCAAGCGCTTTGCTTTGTGAGTGAAGGGAGGACATTGCTACTTTGAGAGGAATCACTGGGTTAAGATGTTAGGGGGGACCCTCTTCACCCTAATTTCCCCATCCTCCTCCCGCCCCCTTATTTCTGTGGACTCCTGTTTTAAGTTTCCTTGTACACAGCCTCTGGGCATAAGAGGCAAGGCTCAAGCTGGGCTTTAGCACATGGTGCAGCCCTGGTAGGGGCAGGGCAGGGTTATGGCTCAGTCAAGACTAGCTATGTGAGTCATTAGAGTCACGGGCCAAGATCCTGGGGCCGCCTGCAGATCTGTGACCACAGCCACCCAGATGTTGGTGTTGAGTTTGTGGGTGCTCAATGGGAAACCAGTCTTGTGCAGGAGAACTCAGGGTTGATTAGCCTAGCTCTAGGAGACCTTTCAACTTGCCCTGAAGAGAGGGTCAAAATTGCTTGCCTGAAGTTCTCACATGGCTTGTATTACCCTTGGAAAATGTCTCTCAGAACTGCAGCAAGCCCCATTCAGAGAGAGAGAGAGAGAGAGAGAGAGAGAGAGAGAGAGAGAGAGTTCTACAGCCAAGGTTGGCCACAAATTTGCTTCACAGCCAAGGATGACCTTGAGATCCTGTTCCTCCTCCCACCTCCCAAGTGCTGGGATTACAGACTTGCACTTCTGCCTGGCTCCTGATTGTTTTAGACTCTCTCCAGGAAGGTTTGGAGAGAGTCCCCTGTTGGTGGCAGCTGAAGGGGTAGTGTAGGGACAGAAAGTAGAGCCATGGGATTAAACCTTCCATGGCTCCTGGTGAACGGAAGGGAAAATGGATTCTCTCCAGCCTCATTTGTTGGAGGCCCTGGAACTCAACTCTTCTTCCTTGTCCGGTGGGATACCAAGCAGGTGGTTGCAAGGAGGCAGGTGTTCTGTGGCTGACGAGGAACTTCAGCTCTGCACATAGGCTCATTGGTACATTTGGAATGGGTAGATGGATGGAATTGAGATTTTTTCAAGAGACTATGTTGACAAGTTTTCTCCAAACTTGGACCTAATGGATTGTTAAGACAGACTTCAAAATAATTTTCCTTGATGGGGTATTTTGTTGTTGTTGCTATTTGTTTTATTATGACAGAGACTCACTCTGCAGCCTAGGCTGTCCTGAAACTCACTCGGTAGCCCAGGCTGGCTAGGAATTCCAGGATCCTCTTGCCTCAGTCCCCCAAGTGCTGGGATTGCAGGCATGCATCGTCATACCTGGATCCTTGTTTGTTTTTTAAACAGCTTTATTGATAATTCACACACCAATGCGATTCACATATTTAGAGTGTAAAATTCGAAGGCTTTTAGTATATTTAGAGTGTGAAGCCAGCCCCACAAGTAAAGAATGTTTTTAGCACGCCCAAAGAAAACCAGTTCCTATTGGCAGTAACTTCCCAATTCTTCCTAGCCTGTCACCTAGTATCTGTGGATTTCCTATAATGGAAGTATATAATTATATGGCCCTTTGTGACTGATCACCTACTAAGATAGCTTTAGATTTCATCAACAATCAATAGGATATCTTTTTAGTCTCTCAATAAACACTGTGAAGATCTTCCTTCTGCTTGAGGAGCCTCAAACCACAGTAGTCCTGAACCTCCACTATAGCCTTGACCTCCTACAGGTCCCTTTGAAAGGACGGTAGTCACCCTAGTAAGGCCTCTTAATAATTAATTCTCTGGGCAGGATTCCTTGGAACCTGTCAGTATTCCTGGAGCAGTTTTGGATGACTCCCAGACTTCAGGATGGATGGGAGGAGCTCTTTGGCCCTGATCCTGGTGCTAATAGTCCAGCTGAAGATTTCAGAGAAGTCTCTGGCCTTCCATGCTTTTCAGACTCAGCCAGGGCTGGCCTTCAGAATAGGCTGTGCAAACTGGAGTGTATTAAGGGTTAGTTTGGAAAACCCCTAACTTATTAAAAAAAAACCCCACAGAGCATGCTCCCATAAGAACTTACTTCATCATTACCTGCTAAAAACAAAACAAAACAAAAAATGTTTTTGCCAACTGGTAGTTGATGGTCTGCAGATTTGATGTGATTTGAGCCACTTTGCTGTCACTTTTACCCAAATTCAGTCAAATGGCTGCTGTTTTCCTGGCCCACAGAGAACAGCTGAAACTGTCTTTAAAGGACAAGGGCCTTTCTGAATTGCTGCAGGCTAGGGTGGTGCTGTTTGAACTCTACTGAGCTAACACATTATCTGAGATTATGGGATTGGTATACAAGGCTCTAGATGATCCCCCACCGGGATTGGCAGTGGAGGGGTCAGAAAACAAGTTTAAAGGGAAAGTTTAAAGGGAAACTTTCTCTTAGAATACATGCCTTAGATAATGCTAGTTGTCAAGGAAACAATCATTCTTTCTTACTTGGTATAAATAAATAAAAAGTGTCAGGGATCTAGTTACTCTTGTATATATGTTAAGCTTTATTCTCATGGGGATAATAGATCTGTGTGTCTGTGTCTGTGTCTGTGTCTGTGTCTGTGTCTGTGTGTTATGTATGTATGTATGTTGTATACATGTGTAAATGTGTGATGTGTATGTATATTGTATGTGTGTGTGAATGTGAGTGCGTATATGAGGATGTGTATGTATGTTATATGTGTGTGTGAATGTATGTGGATGTGTGTGTGTGTGTATGAATGTGTGTGAATGTGTATGGTGTGTCCTGTGTGTGTGTGTGTGTGTGTGTGTGTGCTAGAAGTTGTGTTATTCAGCTTTCTCTCACTAAAACAAAATACCAGAGATAATTACAATAAGAAAAGGTTTGTGGGGCTGCAGAGATGGCTCAGTGGTTAAGAGCACTGGCTGCTCTTGCAAAAGACCAGGGTTCGATTCCCAGCACCCATGTGGCGGCTAACAACTGTCTGTAACTCCAGTTCCAGACACCTTCTTCTGACCTCTGTGGGTATTCCATGACACAGATGCACTTACATACATGCAGGCAATACACTCATACCCATAAAATAAAATAATGATGGGGTGGAGAGATGGCTCAATGGTTAAGAGCACTGGCTGCTGTTGCAGAGGACCCAAGTTCGATTCCCAGTGCCCACATGGTGGCTAACAACCATCCATAACTACAGTTTCAGGGGAATATGATACCCTTTTCTGACCTCTGCAGGCATTGCTTGGCACTGGTGCCTTTACATACATGCAGGCAAAACACTCATACACATAAAAAATAAAATAATAAAATATAAAAAATAAAATAAAATATTTTTTAAAAATTTCTAAAAAAAAAAAAAAAGAAAAGGTTTGTTTTGCTTGCAAAGTTTGCAAAGTAGGTCTTCATGATGAGTTGGCCTGTTACTTTGGAGTGGCAGTACATCAAGTTGAGGCACATAGTAGAACAAAATGATTTATGTCATGAACCAGGAAGGGGACTCTTTCCATATTTTCCCTGAAGTTTCACCTCTTCCCTGAAAGCCAAGCTGTTAATACATTGGGCTTTTAGGTGACATTTATGACCCAAACTCTAGAAAAAAAAAATGGCACACTTTTCAAGTATGTATTCCTTTTGTCTTTAAGAATCACATTTATTTTCCTATTACTTGGGGAAGTGAATATTATTTCTCTTCTAGTGATAAAAATCACTGAAACCCCTCACCCAGCTGTGATCAGCTAAGGTTGGAGTTTCTTACTCATTTCTCCACTTCTGCGCTAAGGTTTTTGTCTGGTTTGAGTTTGCATGGGTCTGGTGCATATTGTCACCATTGTTTTAAGTTCATGTGAGCAAGTGCTCAGCTGCCTGGAAAAACCATGCTTCCTTGTGCTCATCCACCACCCCTGACTCTTAGTCTTTCTGCCTCCTCTTCTGAAATGGTCCCTGAGCCCTGAGTGGCAGAGGTTAATAGGATTCCTATCCAGGGACGTGCGCTCTGTACTCTCTTATTCTCTATATTTTGGCCATGTGTTGAAAAAAAGAAAGAAAAAAACTGCCTATAAATGAAATAGCCCAAAGGAATAAAGTCAGGACAATTAAAACAAATCTGAGCTCCAAGGAAATAGTGCACCTTCTTTGGGATCACAAATCCAGCAAGTGACAGAGGATGATTAGGGAAAGACTCATGGTGTTTGAACCTATACTGCCTTGGACATTTTCCACTAGTGTCTTTGCTGGGGAAGGCAGTGGGGCATGTGTTAGGAACTGGAGCCCATGCTGTAAGCAGAGGCCACAGGCTTTGGCAGCTGAACAGAGGATGGAAGGCAGAGGGACCTAGGGAGTCCATGTCCGCTGCTTCTATGGCCCTGCACGTGTTCCTCCTTTTCTCTGAATTTTCTCATCTAGAAATAGGAACAATAGAAGATACTTCGCAGGGCTGCTTGGGGCCAAGCTGATTTCACACAGTGTGACT